AGGGTTCAAACATCCACCGCCCTGGACATCAGAGCGAATGGGGGTAAAGTTTACTTTTAACCCCAGATTTTATCTCAGTGAACCAAAGGCCAGAATATCTGGTGCTTTTAAGCAAGTTATAATTGGAACATGATCTCCTATTTAGAACACAGCAAAGGTAGACTGGAGGTTGATGGAAAGATCACAAAGAAGAATCATTTTAAGGAAGGGTCCTTTTGAAGGTACTTTCCCTGGCCAGGTTCTCTGTGAATATTCCTGAAATCGAAGCCATAGCCAGAGTACAGCAGCTCAATCCACTCCTCTTCCTCCTCTTGAAGCTGGCAACACCTGCCCATGCTTTCTTTGCTCAAAGTCAAGCATTTGAGAGTAAACATAACTCAGAATGTTTTTCCTCTAAAGACGTGTGGTTGCTGAGGGGTTAATAATGACTCCTATCCGTTAAATACTTGTTGCAGGCCAAGCGCTATGCTAAGCACTTGATTATATTTAGTAATGTAGTCTTCAAAACGGCCCTGTAAGTGGCTGGTGTCATTATTCTCCATTTCCGGATGGGAAACCAAGGCTTGGAAAGTAAACGGTTGTAGTAAAGTGGCAGAGAATAAACTTCAGCCCAAGTTGTCAAGCTAGGAATAAAATAATCTGCATTATTAACCACAGTAAAGCACTCGTTCTGCCTGGCAAAGAGGAGATTCTGGTTATATGAAAGACTTCTGGCAGCGGTGTTGTTCATCTTCAGGACCAGCTGGGCAGGCCTAAGTGTTGCGTGGACCTGGCTTTGGGGCAATTGAAGGAACCCTTGTTTAGTGTTGACCACAGTCTGCTTGCATAAACTGAGTCTTGCTTATGTTGGCTCATTTGCTAAGAATAACAACTACATTTGCCAAAGTGGATAAACATAGAAAGACCAAGGGAAAGGTGTGGGAAGTAGAAAAAGCCTTTTACTGATATCTCAGAAAAACCTCACACTTACTGTTTTTTCCTTGTTATGAAAGTAATATTTTGTCCTTGTAAACTAAATTAGAAAGAACAGAAAAGCCCAAAGAAGGAGGTGTCACTTTTGTATCACTTCACTGCCCAGAGATCCAGTGACCACTGTGAATGGACACACTCTCTCTCTCTCTCTCTCTCTCTCTCTCTCAGCTGTGCACATATTTTTATATAAAAATGCAAGCATTTGTTATAAAAATGCAAATACTCTACAGACACTGTTCTGTAGCCTCTTTTTGTTTCTGAATGTATTGTATTGAGCATTTTTCCACCTCATTAAGTTTTCTTCTACCCCATTATTTTAAATGGCTACATCACATTCTGCTGTATGGGTATACCATAACTGGTCTCAGCTGTGCACATATTTTTATATAAAAATGCAAGCATTTGTTATAAAAATGCAAATACTCTACAGACACTGTTCTGTAGCCTCTTTTTGTTTCTGAATGTATTGTATTGAGCATTTTTCCACCTCATTAAGTTTTCTTCTACCCCATTATTTTAAATGGCTACATCACATTCTGCTGTATGGGTATACCATAACTGGAAACTTATTTTTCACAAATAGATAAATGACTCACATGGAAGATCTCCTGCAGGCCAAGCACAAAGGCTTTTAAGAAGTGGTAGAGCAATGCTAAGGCCAGGGAGCAGGGCATTGCTTGGAATACTTCAGATCTGTCTAGGGCTTTAAGAGATGGAGGTAGAGAGGGAAAGTCACGACAAGGGGAAATTGCCCAGGATTGGAGAGCAGAAGGGAGGTAACAGATTAGAAATGTTGCTGATTTGGGAGAAATGATGGGATTTGGGGAGTTTTCAGGGGAGAGAGGCTGTTTGGGGAGACGAACAAGAATCCTGGTCTTAACAGAGGGCACATGTAGGGCATGGTTGGGATCACTACCGAGAGAAGCTGAAGACACAACCCTGCCTCTGGTCTGCTGTGTAACAGTCCATGTTTATGCTGTTCCTATGACTCCAGGAAGGAGTCTTTGCCCAAGGGAAAGCCTAGACATTGGATGTAGTCCTAAGGGACAATTACCTAAGTGCAAAGTACCAGAGCTGGTAAAAATGTGACTCCAAGCTTATGTCTCTGGGAGATGCCTCAGTGAGCATTCCTCATCCATGACTGGGGAAGGCTGGTGGGAGAGAGAAGGAAAGGGCGGGCTTGCCCCCCATATCAAAGTGTGTAGAAGCCTTCATGTATCCTCTCCTCCTGATAGTCATTTTCCATGGCCTGGGGACCACTCTTTGCGCTGTTCTATACAGGAGAGGCTGAGGTCTCCAGGTTTGAAGACAAAATCTCTCCAGGGTGCTGATGGGAAGAAACCTGAGAGGGGACTAAAAAAAGAGCCCTTGTGGCCAGGGCTCCTAGCCCCTAGCAACAGGAAGCCAAGGGCAAGTCCCTTAGGAGTAAACCTGGGGACCTGGAGGTTTTAGGTAGCCAGAAGGAAGTGCCACAGGAAGTGGCAGAGGCATCACAGAAGTGCCTTCTTTTAAAAAACTTGTGGCTGAGGAGGTTCTCCTCAGTCCCCCGTTTGGTCAATCCCTTTGCACAGGCTTGAGGGGAGTATTTTCCTGGGCTTTTTAGACTGGGAAGAATCTCTAGGAATCATCTGGGGGCTCTCATTGTGGTATAAAAGGATCTGTCTGTACCAAGAGGGCTTCTGGGCTGAGAAAAGTAAAAATATCACATGCTTTGATCCTGACCTTCATCTTCTCATTGATAAATACAAGAGATAATAGTAAAAGAATAGTGTACGCTTGGGAATTAAACAGCCAAATTCTGTCTTTCGGAAAAAAGAGGTCAGTTCAACACCATTTTTCTCTGTTTGGTAAGTATGGTGTGTGAAAGCTAGGACTCAGGCCTCTGGCTGCCATTTCCCCCAACAAATTTCTGCCACTCAAGGCCCGAGACCTTTGCTTTGAATGCTCATCAGTCCTGTCCTGTTAACTGAAGTCAGGGCATCCAGCTCACTTTTCACCATACAAGATGGACTGGTCCTAAATCATTCTGGCCCCTCCAGCCCATCCTTTCTCTGTGATCAAGCTGCATGGGAAAAACAACACATCAGAACAATGTGCAGAAATCACAGAATCAGAACCACAGAAAATAATTTTACAGCCCAAATGTTTACTGGCTTTGACAAATAAATGCACCTGTCTCCACAGCAAGTGTCTGGCTGTCAGAAGGACAGACAGTCGCCCCAGCCTGAGAAGGCAGCCATTGAAGAGGTCTGTCTCACAGGAAGGCACAATACAATTGATTAGGCTCCTCCTTACCAAATTACCATCTCACTTCAATTTTACCTCCCTGAGTTTGCTCCCAGATCGCCTTGACTGGAGTTTTGGGTGTTCCCAAACACTTCAGTTTCACAATTATGGATAATCTCTGCATTTACTTTCATGGTTGCCTAATCATTTCCATTGTGTGTGGATTTTACTACGTTTAGCTCTCAGGGACAATTGTATCCTCTCATTATCTAGTTCTTGGGGCTCTCAGCATCCCACTGCCACCGCCTGGAAGACTGCAAAGGTAGGTGGAAAGCTGTCAGAACTCCCAAGTGTTATCCACATACTGGGATATATCATCATTATTAGTTGTTAAGAAGAAAGCCATACATCAGAGTTCAGCTCCTAGACCAGGGCCTATCTCACAAAAGAGATTTCTTCTCTCTCCCCTGGATGTAAGGGCAAGAAACTATTTGGGGAAGATCAGGGTGTACCAACTTGATCATCAGTGTCTGATATCTGTGTTCCAGATATAACCCTTAGGTACCCAGTCTGGTAACTGTTAGTTCCTCCCAAGATTATTGTAGTGGGTTTATTATAGCTGCCTGCTGAGCTGATATAGAACACTAGCCAATGAACCATCTAAATGTTTATTTAATGTCTTCTAACTAACCAGGTAAACACAGAAGGAAGGCCACAGCCTAAGGTTACGGTTGTGGTCTTTGAAGAGAAAATCACCTGAGTGTTGTTCAGCAGAGATTATTAGCAATGGCAGGTCATGGGCTTTTCTTATGAGGCCATGGGGCAGGCTCTTTGCTTTGCTCTGTCTACTTGTAGACCTTTTCTTTCCAATAACAAATGATTACTAGCAAGGACTCTGAGGCAAGTTTTTCTTTTTATTCTCTTCTGTTTTCTTTCTTCTTCCTTTTTTTAAAGTACTAGTTATTGAACCCAGGTCCTTTGCACTGAGCTACAGGGCCCTTTTTTATTTTATTATTTTTATTTTGATTACATGGTCTCTCAATAACTCATTAAGTTGTTCAGTCTGAGCTTGAACTTGAGATCTTCTGCCTCAGAATCCCAGGGTGCTGTGATTATAGACGTGTGCCGCGGTGCAGATTTTCTTTAGGGCAGTTTTCCCCGTTTGGCATCCTTGATCTGGACACAGTAACAACACTCCTGCAGCAGACCTTACCATTGCTGTTGGCTCCATGGGCCACTCCAGGTGTCCCAGCTGACAGCTGTCTGTGGGCTTCCAGGAGAAGATGCATTGGCTCTTTCTCTCCAAATCTTAGAAAGGATTGAGACTCCTTATCTCTAGGCCTTCCTATGTTGCACAACTCAGCATTCTCTCTGAAGGGGCTCTCAAGGCCAGTCTCCCTGGAGGAATATCCCTCCATCCAGCGCTGGACCTCCCCTGCCATCTCTTGCTAATGCTTTTGGCTGGACACTTAACAAAACAGGAGCATCATCTTCCAGTGAATAGTGTCCGGTGTGGGGTGTGTGGAGGGAGAGCTTGTGTTGTTTGTTTCCATCGCACACATTAAAATCGATGGTGTTTGCTCATCTGGCGGAATGACAACTCATTCCTCTGGACAGGCTGGCTTCACAATTGCTTGTTCAAGGGGAAATCTGATAAGAAACAATAGTCTGCTCTTCGGGAGCATTAAACCGTTGTATTCTAATTTAAACTTCAGGTGCACCGACTGTCTGGTTTGTCTTCTCCTTTAGTGTTTTCTTGTTTTTTCACATTATTGATTTTTGATTCTTTCTCTTTTGAAAAGAAAAGATCCTCCAAACCAACAGCCCGGATGAGAAGATTCATTAAGGTCATCACAGACTGTCTGAAAAGGCAGAGACTTATGCATGCAGCTTGGCTGCTATTCAGATGTCAGAGAGGAGGAGTCATCAGCCATTTCCCAAGCCCCTTGTGAGGGAAGAGGAAAGGACAGAGCAGTCCCTCGGGGCCCTGCCACAGTGCTGCAGAAGTATGGGGCATTGTGGGGCAAGGCTATTCTTTGGACTTTGGAAGAGGGTGGTTTCAAAAAACCATGTGGAATAAAAATTGTCACCATCAACACAGTCCCTCTACTGGTTGAAGTGCTTCTGTTTCCCCTGTTCTTTTAATGCATTACTTTATTTAGAATCACAGAATTGTGCAGAAAAGAATGGTAGAGAACAGCTCTTTTAAATTGTGTGTATTTCAGATGAGGAAATAGAAGCCAAGAGACATGAAGTTTCTCGCCTGAAGCTTCTTCTTATTCCTGGGGCATCCTGGTGCAGGTGACACAATAGGTAGGTGTGTTTGTGCATTTTCTATAACTACTGTGTTCCAGTCACTCTGCTGGGCTCTGAGCGTACAGCAATACATAAGCAAATTGTGATCTTGGCTCTGGAAGAACTCAGAGGTAGGTGAGTAAAACATACAGATAATTATGCCATACAGGGATGACTTACACCTAAGAGACTGAGAAATGACCCAGACTATCTGACATTTATAGGAGGACAAGGGTATGATGCATGGGAGTTAGGCAGGGAAAGAGTTGGTTTGGAAAGTGGGCTTGGTAATGTAAGCAAGGGAAACTGAAGCTTCTCCCTTGGCTTAGCTTTTGAGGGATGGAAAGAGTCCAGTCCCAAGTGCTTTTCAGCATAGTGACCATAAGGGCCAAGAACTGTGTGGCTCATTTTGTGGCATCTTTAACGTCATTGTCACAACAGCTTTGGGAAGAACATATGGCAGTTGGTAAGGGGAGAAAACTGAGTCACCGAGAGAACTTAATGGCAGAGAGTATTGAACAGTGGCAGAGTTAAGAACTGAACTTACTCTGTGTTTGGGGTTGCTTGGACAGAGAAGTAGAGATACAAATGAGCCCAGAATTGTGGTTGGAAGAAAAATGTCAGACAAGTGAAAAGTCAAATTTTGGTTGTTCTGGGAATGAAGAGACCATGGTTTAGATTCTGAGCCATTCATGAAGTTTAGGAGAATCAAGAGTTGACAGGATATAGAATGTTAGGGTTGGAATGAGCAAACTTTATGACCCGCAGGGAGTGGTATGTTAGTGCAATACAGTATCTGACTGTTTTTGAAGGCACACAGAGGCTGCAGTTGTCTTAAGTAGCAATGTAAAACCTTTAAAATAAAATTTAAATAGAATCAATTTAAATCAATTTTATTTTAAAGAATGCATGTGCAGTACTCTTAAGAACTGGGAAGAAAGCACAAATGAGCCATCTGTAGCCTCCCGGGAAGGCTATGAATCTTGGCTGTTCCATATGTAGAAAAAAGGTTATTTGGGTGGAATTAGCAGGTAGGCTAGGGCTTCTGCCAGTCTGTGAAGTGCCCTCCCCTCCCACTTGTGTGTGTTAGCATTTTGTTATGTGACAGAATACCTTAGGTAAACAGCTTAAATAATAGGAAAAGTTTATGTTGGCTCAGGGTTTCAGAGGTTTCAGTCCAGGGTCAGTTGGCCCCATTGCTTTTAGGCCTACGGCACAGGGCTTGGTAGAGGAAAGCTTACCTCATATGAACTAGGAATCAGAGAAAAAGATAGGAAGAGCCAGAGAAGAAGAAACTGCTTGTACTACCTCCCCAAAATGCCACTAAACTACGATCCCATCAATGGGTTAATCTACTGTTGAAGTTAGAGCTGTCCTGATCCAGTCACCTTCTGAAAGCCCCATCTCTAATAACAAAAGAATTTTAGGGGACTTTTTAATGGCTAAACCCTAAAAAGCATCATTTGCAGAAGCCCACAGGCATAGCTTTCTCCTCCAGCATGTGGATGCTGAAAGTGGAATACTTAGGAGAACACCGTGCGTCACCGGGTTGAACTCCCTCTTTTCCTTTTACATCATCCTATTTTTAAGGGATAGTTAACATCATGGGAGATAATGCTGACGTTTGCCTCCCAGCTCCACCACCAACTTGCTGCGTGGTGAGTGGTCTACTTACACTTACCAGGTTTTGGGTTAGTGTCTGTTTAAGAAGGGCAACACTTCTTTCATTAAATTTCGAATGCTTTAGGAATGTAAATTATCCAGTGCAGTCTGTGGTACATATTAGGTGCTAGATACATGACAAGGATTCTTGCTATTCATCCCTCATCTTGTGATGTGAATGTGGAAATAAGGATGATCGCCCTTCTATAGATGAAGAATCCAAGCTCCACAGAAACATGGTGCCTCGAATATTGTCATACTGTGACTAGAGCTGGAATTGGGGAGAAGAAAAGATTTTCTGACTCAGTCCAGTGGTGTTTCAACCTCCCATGTCTACAATAATGTATGACCACAGCTTCTCCAGGGATCTTTCCTGTTTCCCCTGGAGGCAGTCAGGCAGGCATTGACTGGTAATCGGCTTTATTCTAAATTTTGGCTCCAAAATTGTTTTTTAAAATAACATCAAGAACTATTTCTGGATACCAAGGAGGAAGGTCATTTTCCAGATAATCTCACCGAGCAAACTGCATGGCAGCCACAGCAGAAGGCCTTGTGTCTCAGCTCACAGAGCTTGAGGGGCCTCAGTAGGTGCTAAAGAGGAGCCAGGTCACCAAAGTATAGGCCAGCCTTGGGCTATGACTTAACATGGCCAAAATAGCTGTGTTTTTAGGCCTGGAAGGTTAGGAGCAAAGCCAGCAGGATGGAATGACCACCTGAGCTCTTAACTTGGAAAGCAGGTGTGGGTTCATTAAGAAGCTGCCAATAATGAGTAGGAGAGAGAAGCCTATTCACCTATTAGAAAAAAAAGGTGGTTTGGGGGTCATTTAGCTAGGATTCTAGTCAGAAGATCTAGGACTGTGCCATTGACAAACTGAGACAAATAACTATTTTATGTAAACCCTGCCCAATCGCATAAGCTCTGCTGACCTCAGAAAGTCATTGAAAGAATAAACTGGCAGGTAAAAGGTCTCCTGCAAAGTGCAAACATGATATGCAGCTCTGCAAGGAATGGAGGTTGGCGTGGGGAACAGACTGACTGTGAAAAGAAGCCGAGTTGAAAGGAAACTAGCTTTATTTAGTGTGGGTAGTGATTTTTATGAAGTAGTTGAGCAAGGGCTAAGGCCAACTACATCATTAAGAGTTTAAGAAATTAATTAATCATAGATCTTGGATGAAAGACACATGGTGATCTTCTCAGAGATGCTAACAGACTGGATAGAGGAGCCTGAAGAAAGATACTTTTAGTGTAGTTGGGAATGCTGTTGCATTTGTTATCTAATGTTGTGTAATAAAGTGACCCACAGCCTAATGGTTTAAAACACCAGTGAATATTTATGATCTCACTGATCTTCAGATCAGGAATGAGAGCTGTTCAGCTGAGTGGCCCTGGGCTATGTTTCTTATCAGTAATAGTCAAGATGGTGTCAGGGACCACAGTCATCTGGAGGTTTGACTGGGACTGGAAGATTTGCTTGAGAGAATAGTCTTCTCACATGCTGGCAAGGTGGTGAATCTGTGGGCAGAAGGCCTCTGTCCTTACCCTCATGCACCTTTCCTTTATAGAATTTTAAGGAAGTCAACTGGCTATTTGCAGGTCTCATGATATAGCTGCAGCCTTCCTTAAAAGTGAGCCATCACAGCAACCAAATGGAACTTGCACGTCTTTTGCAACCTAGCCTTGAATATCCCATATTATTACCCTGGCATCCTGTTGGCTACATAGTCAGCCTTACACAGTGTGGACAGGACTCTACAAGGGCAAGAATACCCTTGGACGGAGGCCCCACTTGAATGATGGTGACCATTACCTTCACGGAATTAGGAACAGCACACTTCAGGAGAACAGAGGGGAAATTTGCTCACCATAGCTGAGTGTTGAGCTAGACTTTGAATGTAAGGAGGAGTTTCCTGATTGATAAGGATGAGTCTTTAATTTAAGGGAAGTTTACCAGAGGCACAGAGTTTGAGAATGGGTGTTATGAGAAGCGCCTCATGGAAGAAATAATTTGTAGTGGTGGAAAGTAGGAGGAAGAAATTATGCTGATTCTAAATGCATCTGAAACCAAACTTTGTGAGTTTTTTCCTAGAGGCAGGGGGAAGTCAGGGTAACATAATTTGCAGGATTGCAAGGATGCTAACTAGCAGAATCCTGGAGGTGGGCTCCAGGGAGAAGAAACTAGAGACTACTGAAAAGCAAGGGAAAGGTCCCAAGGATCATCTTTAGAAGTGGCAGGGAGCATGGAGAGAAAGGCCTCTGTGAGGACAAATCTGGAGGGCTGTGAGTCCCAGAAATCACCAAAGTAGATCCTCTTTTTTCCGTAGCTGTGAAAACACCAAGGCAGAGCTAATTTCAGGCTAAAGAGAATGCTATGGTTTGATTATGTCCCCCACAGTTCATGTGATGGAAACTCATTCCTTAATGCAGTGGAGTTGAGTAGTTGAGCCTAGTAAGTGGTGATTAGGTCATAAGGGCTTTGCCTTCATGAATGGATTAATGTTGTCATCAGAGGGGTGCATTAGTTGTCGTGAGAGTACGTTGTAATCAGTTTCCTCTTGCTCTCTCTAGCGTGAGTGCAGTTTTCCCCTCCTGCCATTCAGCATGGGATGATACAGCACAAAAGCTCTCACAAAATGCTGACACCTTGGTGTTGGATTTCCTAGCCTCCAGAAGCAGGAGTCAAAGATGTTTCTGTTTTTTACACATTACATAGTTTCAAGAATTCTGTTATAATGGCACAAAATGGACTAAGACAGGGATGGACTCACAGAAGGAAGCATCAGAAAGAAGTATGTGTGTTCTGAACTCAGAAAGAGGGAGAACCAGAGCCTGGGAAGTTGTATTTCCCTGAACCTGGCATAATCAGCTAGTAAAGTTTTACAAAAGCCTTGGCTGATGCTCACAAGTGAGAAGGGATTCTCCTCCTAGCCCTGTCTTAAACTTGTCACATTGGAAAATATTTAGGTATCCCTCCCACCCACACTACTTGTGAGCTCCTGCTACATGGGCCTTTCCCTCAGTCATGCCATGCTCCCCCAAATTGGCCTGCATTAGTTATATTCTTATTGCTGAGACAGCAGTGTGAAGGAGGGA